ATTCTATATTTCACAGGTTATCTATACATTTTGTCCTCAGCTAGCTGTTATCACAAGAAAAAAGAAAGGAAATTACTTTCCAAAGATCATCACGGTACCTTGTTTTTGACCGTATCCTTAAATCATTTGACCAAATGAATTAAACATCTTCCCCAGGTGTGAATAATCAACTCAACTTGAACTGCAATCATGAGCCTGCTTTGTATGCTGAGAACATATTAACTGTGCTGTTTGGTTCTTTCAGTTTCATGGCTTGCTGTTGGCTGACATCCCTCCTGGATGACCTACAATATGGCAGATAAATAATATGAGAAAAAAATATGTCTGCTGCCTCCATGTTTATAGTTGGGGGGTTGCTCATATATGTTTGTCTCTTTTAAAACAGTGGAGTGCCAAGTTGAAAGCGGAAATGAGACACTTTGCAAACTTCACTTGTGTTTTTGTATATTCAAAACTTTTCAGCCATCACCTCAAAGGTGTCTTTTTACAACAAGGCTGAATAAGGAAGTACAGTGCGTAAGTCACAATCTCATTAATGCGATCAATCATTTATTATCCTAAACCAACCATCTAGCCAACCAAACAGAGAGTAAAATTTATAGAGGAAAAAAACTCATTCGCATAGAAAAAAGCAAACATTTAATCAAAAGCATAGTGTTTCATTATAGGGCAGCACAGTGGTGCGGTGATCAGCACTGTTGCCTCACAGCAAGAAGGTCCTGAGTTGGATTCCACCACCTGGTAGGGGCCTTTCTTCCCTTGTGTGGGTTAGCTTAATAGGTAAACCTAAATTAGGTGTGAGTGTGAATGATTGTCTGTCTCTATTAGACTGGCGCCACATGTCCAGGGTGTACTCTGCCTCACGCCCTATGTTAGGGGCTCCGGCCCCCTCGCAACCCTGACGAGGATAAGCGGAGGAGAATGGATGCGTGGATGTTAAAATATGTGGTGTTTATTCCAAGAGGTTTAAGAGTTTACTTTTTTTGACCTGTTAACCTCTTGGTATGCACACACAGCAGCTTCTTCATCTCAGTGCATCTTAATTGAGCTCCCTAAAAAGGTGACAGTGCTTTAGGATCATATTTTTTTGTCTTTAAATGGTAGCAGTTGCACTTACCAGTGCAAGAAGAAACCGTTTACTGAATACATAACTAATATTGTTTGAAGCATCCTGAGCTCATGCAGTGATTTCCATTGCATACACCACTACAGAATTGTATTTTACACGACTGCTCCCTGTGGATCACAGTTGTTCTGTTTTGATTTTGTCCTTGTGTGTGGAATCTGGCCGATCCCACGAGTCTTTTAATATTGCGCACCATAGATGATGAGCAAATACTTTGAATATACTGATTTGCAGTCTTTGACAAATTGGTGAACTGTCCCCATTTTTTATTTTTGAATGACTCTTTTGAAATGTTCTTTCTTTTACATGAAGTTTATATAATTTTTAAATCATTTAATTCTATTTTTATGTAAATTTTACACTGTTTTGTAACATTTTTTTAAACTCAACAATACTATTGTGGCAGAAACTGAATTTCCCTGCTTTATAAAGAAGCCCACAAGGTACTACAATCTACAAACAGATGACAAAGCTCTCAGCTCAAGGGCTTTCAGCTCAACAGCCTGCACATTTGAGGACAATAAACCGATTTAAGCTAACTACCTCATCATAACAAAAGCCCTTAGTGACAAAAACCTTGACTGCAGGCTCATAATCTGTGAACTTACTACTTTTAGAGTATATAAAATGTTTTCATTTACAACATATAATTTACTGAGCCACACCTGTTTTCACCAGAGGTGTGGGTAAAAAATGCTAATGAGGTGGTTTACATTCCACGTGTGTACAACTGTGTCACTTGAATTTTTATAATTGTGCTGAGGGAGGCAGTGGAGAACGAATCCTTCACTTTCATGATTCTTTTGTGTGTATTAAACATTTGTGTCATTTTAACTCACTCATTGTAGCGTGAATTTTCAAAATGTGCCAAAATTGAAAGTAGTGCGACTCTCAGATCATGCACAGTGGAGTGCAAAAATGGTTTAGTGCATGGAGGACAGGAAGATGAATGTCTTTTCTCGTCTTCTGTGACGGGGGTACAAATGAATGTTAAAGATCTATGTTAGTGGAGCAGGATGAGAGGAACTAGGTATGTGAGAGAAGGTAAAAGAAAAAAATGAAATTGCAAGAAAATGGACTGCGCAAAACAAAAAATTAAAAAAATAAGGTCATATAATAAGGTGATCATCACAGAATCAGTTAAACTTCCACATAATTCTTAATCAATTTCACCTGATTTTGTGCGAATGACACGTGGAGGCCACAGATCACAGATCCCTCTGACCGATGTTTTCATTTTCTCTTTTGCTAGGAGATGAAACCTGCAGCCCACTCAGGCCCACTCCTTCAGGTATTTTCATCCACGTTAACTGTGTGTCTCCTGCACACTCAGAGGTGTGGAGGAGATTGACCATTAAACACAAAAGAAAGACATAGCTCTAAAAGGGCAACAATCCAGCTGCTGGTCTGGTACCTGCTCCTTTATGTGGGCAGGAACAAGAGGAGCACTGCCAGAGCACAACAAAAGGCCTCTGGCAGGCTACTTGTGTATGTTTCACACCAAACTCTCAGAATCAGAATCCACGAGGGTGGAATGAAAGCATGATGTGATTTAATGGGACCTCTGCTCACAGCCCGGTGGCAGACAACATCAGAACCCTCAGCTACATCCAGTTCTCCTTACAAATTAGAGGTGGTTCACAAAAAAGTCTGGAGATGCGACAGCAAAAACTATGCAACATGTGCAAGCATGACAGCAAACATATGGGAAGGTATATCCTTTGAGGGTTGCACAGACCTGAATGTGCTAACCAACCCTGACTGTTATTAGGTGCCTGGATAAAATCCTCAGTCGCACTGTCAGACCTTATCTTGGTGCACTAAGTACCACCTGGTGCAGGACAATGACTCATATGGCAAACGTGCACAGGCAGCTCCCTGAACGATGAAGGCACTGATGATATTGACTCGCCCTCATGTTCCACAGGCCTGAATCCAGACTTTATGAGCTGCGATGCTACAGTCTGTCCAGAAGCTCACTGATGCCTTGATCCAAGTCTGCAAGGAAAGCCCAAGGACACGATCCAGATGTTGCCAGGGCTGAATACAGGTAAGTCGGGGCCTATAGTGAAAGTAGCCTCAGCCTGTGATTTGTGAGTTAAGTGTTAGTTTAATTTTTTATCTTAATTATAGAAATTCTTAGTAGCAACAGCAGTAATGTCTGTTGAAACCTAACGTAAATGCTCGATAAATAACACAAATAGGCTATTAGATTAAACATTTAGCTTAATTAAAGTATTCTTGTTAACTTATGGTAACCTGCATTTCTTGTGGTGCAAAAACAGTTTCTCAAAATACAACTTACAGTAAACTTTAGAAATTATAACTTTACATAAGCAATACAGCGAACCGCAACTCTGCATTATTTAGTATGCTTCTTACAGGCTCTTTAGTAACTGCAAGTAAGGTGTGTCTTGTGATCTATATGTCACGCTACTATGGCATGCATAATTTCACATCTCTATACTGTGACCAGTATAGTTACCACATCTCCATTTAGTCACACAGTTTAGCAAGATTTCAAAAAACACAAAACTCCAATCTTGTAACACTTTCAAAAGTGAACTGAGTCCAAATTGTCCAAATGATGCAATCCCTGTAGCCGCTTTTCTTTACACTCATATCGCTACCATAGTCGGACAATCTGCCAACAAAAACTGAGAGTACACACTTCTTGAAAAGCTCAGTGAACGACGTGTTGCACATTTTCAGTAACCACAGTGCTGATGTGAACATTTCAAGCTTTGAACACTTTTACTGTAATAATACTTTCTCATATCTCTTGTGCCTACACAGCAGACATATTCTAACATATCAGTATGGTGTGGTCGGTAATTTACTGTGTATACTGTAAACAGGTTTTACATACTTACTTGCAACTATTAGAATAACAAAGAAAACAATCGTTTACTTTTTTTTAATAATCATTAACTGACGATGATGTGATGCTACAAAATCAGCAGTCTCTATATTTTACATTTTAGTAGATTGGCAGCTTGATATGAAAGAAGTCTTAGTATGAAGAAACTAAATATCAGCATAAATGCATAGGGCCCATCTGCTTTGCAGTGAGTGTATTTTCATGCCAAGTTAGGAGATGAAACATTAACTACAGTTCTTTCTATGCGTTCAGTTTGGTTGAAGCAGTTCAAATTTCACATTGGGTGAAAAAATACAAAAGCAAAGGTTAACTTCCAAGGCACAGCAATAGACATTAATTTCATTTCTCTTTAGTCAAAAACCTCCATTCTAGTCAGCAGAACTGTAATATTTAAAATAAAAAAAATCAATTGAAAAATATTAATCTACTGCTTACAAAATGAGAAACGGACTCTTAGCATCCGAAAGTGCCACATTTGTGGGAAATAAAAAAAGGTAACAGAAAACAAAACCGCTGTAGACACAGCAGTTCGATTCAACACCTGTCTACTAAAAATAGAAGGTGAAAAGTACGGCATCACAGCATGGGAATGGGAGAACAGTTTTTCCTCTGCGTGCGTTCAGCAGGTATGTGCCAAAGTTTGAAATGAAAATGGGTGTAATTATGCCACATTTCTCTCTAAAGTTCGAACAGATGACTACTTAGCATAATAAAACTTTCAGAGTTACACGCCAATCGTACAAAACAGGGACGACACAGAATCGATTATAATACTTGTCCCAAAGTGCTGGGCAGGTGTTGCTGAAAGGAAAACACTGCATTGCTCAACGGCTGCTTGGTTCAGTAAGTGCGAACTCCTGGTTTGCTGTCCGGGGTCTGGTTGAAGGGATTTCCTGAGGTAGAGGAGCCATCCTGCTGGTCAATAGACTGATAGGCATCTCGGTTTCGTGATACAGAAGGGAAACCTGCAGAGACAAGCCACAAGTCTTCAACACCAGTTATCATTTTTAACCACATCTAATCATGGACCTTGGAGACTGGACTGTTGTTGATATACATATTTAAAGTACTGGCACACAGAAAGCTCAAATATTTTTCTTTATTGTTTTCCCTTTCTCCTTACACACAGATTCATGAAACGGTTATGCAGATTTGCCATCTTGAGTCAAGTGCCTAGCCATGTCTGTAGAAATATAAATGACAGTGCTTGAATCTGTTATTACCAGCATACATTAAAAATACACACTCCCTCTGATGAATGGTAGACTGAGAAAACAGCCACTTTTATTCAAAATCCTTCTTTGATGGAAGAAGAAATTCCTCCCATTTCCCCACGACTGTTTGATTAGACATTTTGAGTAAGAGTCTGGGCACGGGAACTTCACTGATGTGAGACTGAACATGAAAAATCTCTTGTCCTTCTGTCAGTAGTCAAATAATCAAGATTATTTGAAAAAATAAATAAATTTACCAAAGGATATAGCTTCCTTGCTATATTATAGGTGGGAACGTTTATGAAGAATTCTATAAAGGGACTTCACATGAAGCATCTACAACAAACAGTCCTGACTCTGACATGGCCAGAATATCAACTATCCCCTTTTGGCGTTTCAAAGACAGCACCTCTGCACAGTCCAGAGTCCAACTGCGGTGACAAACATGCACCTTTAATGCCAGTAAAACAAGAAATCTGGTTTCACTGCAGATGTGTGGGAATATTGGCAAGAGCCCAAAGATTGACCAAAGGATGGCATCACATAAAGCTCAACAAAGCGTGTGCATAAAACCAGGCCATACTCACTGTCTAGTATCACATCGCATCTTGTTGATTTTAATTAGGCTCATTTTAGAATGTGCAGCATCATGCAGCTCTGCTTTAAATACATGCAAATACAATGCAAGAGCACAAATGAGGCATCTGGAGACTAAAAACCTGAATAAAACATATAGCTGATGCAAACTTTCAGAAACATATAAACTCCTAAAACACAATAAACAGTGTTTGCATAAGAGCAATCTCTACAAACAAACATAGCAATGCAGGCAGGTATGGGCTTACTGAAGGTGGGAACAGTCAAATTAAAAGACAGATTAAAAAAAAACACAAAGAAATGGACAACAGAACACTGACAAGATGATTGTTTAGAAATAAATACAAAAGGGGAAAAAAAATCTATTTCTCTTTATCATCCTGCAGCCTGATATGGAATCTTACTTCCTGCATAGAAGGAGTTGGAAGAGGATGATTGGAGGAGAGAAACTGTAAAAAGGGAAGAGGCCAGGAATCAATAGCGGCGCCCAATAAAGGCACTGTCAGCACTGTCCGTAGTGCATCGACTGTCCACAGAGGTCTCAAAGTCTGAGAGGTCAAAAGGTTGAAGAGAAGAGAAGAGAAGAAGAAATGATCAAATTCCAACGACAACAACAAAAATCAGCCTTTACAAAAAATAAATACTAAGGTGTGACAGTAAGGTATGCCAAAGAGCAAAGGATGACATGCAAGAAAAATAATGACATTTTAAGTTGGGAACAAATATTTAAGAAGTGCACATTAATTTAATTTAGGAGCACATTAATTTAAGGGTAATGCATGGCAGGCAGTCTGCTAAGCTGCAATTTACTTAGTTATTGCTAGAAAGGCTGTTGCACTTGACATCACGGCACAGTTCTGGTACAGTTCACACATAATGGCAGCAGACTCATTGCTCAAAATTAATGATAAGTGTTTAAAAGATGAGTCTGTCATTTCAGACTTGTTATGTTTATCTAGCAACCAACCATCAATTTTCCAGTCGTTTGTTGCATTTCGTTTCCCTGGCTGCAGAGTTTTTACTGACTTTTCAATGTCTTGAGGTGCACTGTATGAAAATGAGACTCCAAAAAACAGTCTTAAATATGCATTTGTTGGCTAAAGCTTAAAGGTCCCTGGTAGGCGTTAGGCCTAGTATTTACTGTATGATGTGGAAACTGTTCAGACTGCTATTTGGTCTGTCTACAATACTCTTTGCATGGACACGATTAAAAATCACACTACACAAACACAGAGATAAAAATTAATCTTATCTGTGTGTGTGTGTGTGTTTAAGCACTTGCTAAGTCTCTTTAGCAAATACGACAAACCCTGGATAACACTGGCACAGGTTGAGGTATGAAGTTATTCAAACCATTAATAAATGGCTTTTTCTAATGCTAATTTAAAACCTCAAAATGATTGCAGTTAGCCGTAAACATAAATAGGATACTAAACTCAAAGATGGAGCCTTTTCACTCTAAAAAAAAAATTTGCCCGCAATTTTTTTTTGTAGCTTGTTGATGCCAGAGGTCAGAAGAGAATGGCCAGAGTGCTTCAAGCTGATAGGAAGGCAAAAGCAACTCATTACAACCGAGGTGTGCAGAACAACCCTTCAAACTTGTAACATGGGCTACAGTAGCAGCAGGCACCACTCCCCTCAGCTAAGAACAGTAAAATGAGGCTACAATTTTAAACTGGACTACAGAAGACTGGAAAAAAAGGGTGCCCTGTCTAATAAGCCTCAATTCCTACTGCACGAGAGCTGCCAAGTTACCCAGAAGGATAAGTTGGAATCTCACAAACCTCAAATCATCACAAAATAGTTTCTTGAAGATTACAATGATCTCACTGTAATGCCACGAGATCTCAATCAAAGAACGAACCTTTGGGATGTGATGGAAAAGGAAATTCAGCTGACAAATCTGCAACATTGTGTGATGCAGTCGTGTCAATATGGATCAATATCTTTGAATAATGTTTTCCAGAACCGTGTTGAATGTATGCCATGAAGAATTAAAGCAGGTCTGAAGACAAAATAGGGCCCAACCCATTAAAAACAAGATGCACATAAAAAAAATGCTACCATCTATGGCTCACAAATGAGAAGGCACCTTTTCCTTTCAATTTTGCTTATGGCTTTTAATTACCTGCCAATCATTCACAGTGTAAACAAAATCACAGCTTATTACTTGCTGTTCTTTTTCAATGTTTCTGAGGCTTTCATCTACCCATGTAAAGTACGTGCCTCACCTCTATGTGCTTTGACAGTCTGGATTTGCCTGTTTATAGGTGCTAAGCAGTGGTTGGTTTAATGACCACAGTCACTTTGACTGACTGCAAAAGTGTGACGGCTCAAATGTGCAGTTTTTGCTTCACTGGATGTAAAACTTAAGTCTAATACACAAACTCAGAGTAATTCAACCACCATAAGAGGTCCATCAATCAAAATTCTGGGAGCCCCAAATACCTGAATCAACAGTTCACTCACACGCACTTGATTGTCTGGTTCCCAGAGTGCTCAGTGCAGCGGGGAACCATATAAATGCCAACAACGCAATCAGGCAGCAATTAAAACTCACATAGTCTGAAACTGACATTAGCCGCTTTCATCAGTCATTACACACTCTAATGGATGTACCTGCTGTGTGAATGTGGCGGTAAAGTAAAACCACAGAGAGAGCACATTCATCAATATTCAATTATCTGCCAAGCATGCAGGAAATATATTTTGTCAACTGCAGTTTTGGGTCGCAATGCAAGAGAAATTTCATTACTTTACCCAGCGTGACATGAAATAACATAGTATTTTGGCCTATAATACTAATAATAATAGTAATAAAATTGCATTACACCAACAATATGTGGTTTTATTTTTCCCATTTGTGTTGTTGTTGCTCTTATTATGGATCAATCGCTAATGAATGAGTAACATTTTCCGGGATTTAAGAGTCCAGCGGACGTCACAGCTCAGTGGGATTTCTAATGGAAAAGCTCTCAGCAGAGAGAGGTAAAGTCTACAAATCAATGACCACACACACTTGATCAAACATCCCTTCACTTGTTAGCGTGCTTATTAGATGTTTGCCTGCAAACAGAACGCTATACACCCAAAAGTCAGTACCAACACAAAGTGTCTCTTTCTGTGTTCATCCGATTTGAGTCCATCTGTGTTTCCTTCCACATCACTGTGCTATTTCTGTCCATGTGCTATCATGGCAGATCATACACTCGTAGGCCTGCATGGGCTTAATGTGTTTCTCCATGCAGTATAAAGTGGTTGCCAGGATGACACACAAATGTAATAAACATTTCATTGAGAAAGGGTTTCTTTGACTGGCCGAGCTGCAGCTCAAATATTTCTCTGCATTTTAAGTCTTGTGACTGTAACTAATCAGTTTGACGGTGGAATCATCTGCCAGCGCTTTCGCTCAGTGTCCTGCCAGGTCTTGCTGCTCTCGGCAGGCTTTTCATGTTAAACGGCATAAAACAACACAAGGAAGACATCAAAGTGCCCTTGGACATATGCATTACTCCATACCTTAGCTTTGGTCATAAAGCGGTGGGTAGGCTCAGGTATTTTAGATACTTTCTCACTAGTTCTGAAATTATACTGGGAGATGTACCCTCTGTGTTGTGTATGTATTTCTGCTTTCATTACCTTTTCACATCTTTCATGACAACAAAATGAAAAACTGAGGAACCTGAGCCAAAATCTTTTCAAATCTCGAAATGTTTTATGCTACTGTACGTGACCCTTCTAGTCGTACTTACCAAAGTTGATGTTGTAATCTCCTCCTCGCTCGCGGTACATTTGGTAGACAAAGAAGCAGGAAATGGGTTTGAGCAGCAGGTTGAGGATGGTCATCCCTGCGCCGAAGCGAAACAAGTCGCTCGAGTCACCGAGTGAGTAGAATATCCCGAGATGGACGATGTCGGTCAATATTGTCAAAATCATCCCTATCAGAAACTACAGGGAGCACACAAAAGAGACATGTAAAGCAACATAATTGTAACATGGAAAATGAAGTCATGGGTGTGATATAAAAAAACCCCCCAAAAGTATAGTATACATGTTCTGGAAAAAGATTTTTGAGGCAAGCCATTACAAAAAGAGTAAAAAAAACAACAAGATCTTGTCTTATAATTTGGGACAGTCAATATCCATATTGTTAAATGAGACATAACTCTCCAATAAAAAAATAATTAAATATGAGTTAAACATGCTATTAGTTAAACACTTGAAAATAAGTGAATTCACTTAAGGCACCCAAGAAAAATGCTGCCAGGATTTAACCATACTGGAAAAGATATACAGGGAGCTATATTACCTGCAGCTGATTGGGCGGGTGATTGATCCAATTTAAAATACCACTCAGTGCTAAGGAATCCTGCTTATCAATTAGTTGTGCACCAGTCTTTTTTCTTGATAGATCTTGGACATGAGTGAATATGACATTGGACTTTAATGTACACAAGGTAAAAGGCTCCCCTGTGGTTACATCCCAGCGTCTATAATTCTAAATTAAGTTCAGTACAGTGACAGAGTCCAGTACTGTCAAACTGACGTTTTGGTTACTGTCAAAGAATAACACAGTAGACAGCTATTTTGCTCAAGAGTCATCCCTTCATTTCAAACACTCAAAGCCTGGACAAAGGTGGACTTTAAGTATAGTTTTGTTAAATCTACCAGTTAAAGTTAGTCATAGTGGGTTAGAGTCACCCACAAAGCTACATAGCCCCCTGAGATTAATATAATTTCTCATCAATTGCAGTAAAGATTTTATTTAACTAAAACAAACCAAGTAACCACATCATTCAAACAGAAACTGAAAAAAATCCGTCCATTACAAGGACACGAAGATTTAGAGTGTAACAAATATTTTGCATCAGCATAAAAGTATTTATGCAGTGAACACACAATTAAAATGCAGCAACCTCTGGGGCTAAAAATTGAAATAAGAGCTGAAGCACCAAAAGCTGCAGCCCCTGAGGTTGGCTTCACAGGCCAATCAGGTCCCATGCAAAAATGTCCAACGTTACAGCAGAAATGCATAAAGCATTTTGACATTTGGTGTTGTTTAGTGTTCAATCATACAAAAACACACTTGAGTAATTTTAAGCCTGTTTTGATGCAAGTCAGAATAAGCATCCCATTTAATACTACAACACTTTATGAAGGTACCCTGCTAACCAAACTAGCTAGCAATAGATGGCAACTCCTCCTCACTGCCTGCTCATGTTAATATGGTCAGATTTGACTTGAAAAAAAAAAAATGAACACAGCCAAAGCCAGAATGTGAAACTCAATCCAAAACTAAAGCCATGAAAAACCACAAACCATTGTGGCCATCTTCTATATACAGTCTATGAGAAGGGCTCAGTACTTTTGCTGACCCACAGTCAGGATGAGGCGCTTAATAGTTTCCTCTGACAGACAGAAGAGCCAACTGCACAAGTTTTCCTTCTATCTGATAACGGCTCTCATTAAAAGCTGTTCTTGCTTCAGAACACAATCAAAAAACAATTCTCAAGTCACACTTTTGTTTAGTTTTTTTCCCCCTTAGTCAGCTGATGTCACTGATGTACAATGGAAACACCAGTCATGGGTTCAGAGTTACGGTATGATAAGGGTTGACAATTCTGAAACTTCAAACATTTAAATTAAATTGGCTCCTTAAGCAAATGTAAACTGTCTGAGGGCCTCAGCTACTGTACTGTGGTAAATTAAGGACTCTTTTTCAAAGGGATGCCCTAGATTCCAGAGACAAATGGGTTAGCACAGATATGCAGCACTGCACCTAAAGTTGGACTACTTTATGTGTCACATGATGCTATAAGAGCGTATGAAGAAATGAAGGCAGAGACTCACCATGATCACTGCATCTATTGAGTCCCTCTGTGCAATCGCCCACACTCCAACTGCTAAAACGCTAAAGTTCGCCCATGTGAAGGCCACTGACAGCCACACCATACTCCCCCTGAAGGAAACACACAATTCATACGAGACAGATTCTTACACACCCCAGGAGAGTTACGTGCGATTTCACAGAGGATGAGACATGTAGGTGAAAGAGTTGACCTGAATCAGGAGTATAAGCATGTGTCTGTGTGCCAAAAGAGGAGAGAAATTCCTCAGGTTTGTGGAAAAAAAAGTCTGTGCTCATACTCACCAGACTGTAAGCAGCCAGTGCACCAGTACGATGGCCTGGAATAGAGAAGGACAAAAATGTGTTTACACTGAACTGAGACCAAGAACAGCCAGTGTATAGCTAAGAATGATGAAACTCTATCACTTAAACACAAGTTAAAAACTTCAAATCATCACTGTGTGCAGCTAATCTACAGTAATGATTTATCTTTTTAATTAGGTCTCCAAGAGGACCGAAGACATCTTTTTTAACCTCGCCAAATTGCATTTTTTATACATATGATTTCCTTCAATTCTGTGAAACAAAGTAAATTTAACTAATTTCAAAAAACTTTGAGAGATAAATGAATGAATGACTGAACACACTAAATGAATATAAAAATGCACCATCTTGCAGAAAGTGTTAGCGTCCTCCAAGCCTACTTTTAACATCACAGGTTTTATAATCCTTGAAAGAGCTGTCCAAAATTACATTTGACCCATTTTATTCTTTGGACAGAGCACAAGGACACTTTTGTCCCTGTTCAGTGTCACAGTTAATCAAAGGCATCAGTTTATCAGTTAATGTTCATCACAGAATATAGTTTGTCTCTACTATTTTACTACTGCATATGAGTGTTTAAAGTGTTTGTGAAAATAAATATGTTTATATGTTTAAATAATGACCTCTGTCAAAGGACCTGCTGCCACTCAAAAATGTCCTTCAGGGACCGTATCCCCTGAACATTACCTTAAACACTTCTTACTTAATAGCAAAAAGTAGAGCAGCAGTTTACTGTGATCTGAGTCACAAGCAGAGGAAGGTCGTTGCCACACAGAGGAATTACCACTGAGGAACAGAACTGACATTTCATTGAAAACCAGCGTTTGTTTGAGCGTACAAGCCGAGGCAATCAGAAACGCAGAAAGTAAACCTCACCTTTAGATTTATGGCAGGGATTTCCATAATTGTCTGTTTGGACAAAGCAGCTCCTCCTTGATCCGATTCGGCGTTTCAACTTGTTAAAGAGCTACATGAAAAAGTACCGCAGTTTCTCTTCTTACACAAACTTCTGTCCAAACCCCTCCTCCCGTCGGCTCAGCCTTGCAAACACAAGCCATGTGACAGCAACCTGACTCGTTCCCATGTGACTCCTTCCCCTCTCACCCTCTCACCCCTTCCCCCAACCCCTGGGGTGCGGTTCAATTGGCAAATTTGCTTAGGAAGGTTACTAACTAACTGAAGAGACCCGGAAATATGTGTGCGGCAGTCAGCCGCTTCCGTGCTTCTTGTATTACTTTCTTAAGCAGAACTTTAATTTAATGATTTAATAATAACTGGACGCAAGGAATTATTTTTTATATATATATATAATTGAAATGATATTTCACTCGTGTTTTTAGTTTATATTCCCCGCATGGTAAATTAATATTATTGAACTTTTCTTTGTGAGTTCCTGCCTCTTTGGGGATAAAAGAGGCCACGCAAACTCATGAGATTTCAATTAAAGGTCCAGAATGTATTTAGTACATCTTAGTAGAGTAGCTCAAATAAGTCAAAAGATATCATCCAAAAACTATTTTCAGGAGGATATAACTTCTCAGCACACCCCGGTTCAATTTTCCTAAGTGGCCTTTCTAAAAGTATATTAACATAAAAAAATTCTGTGAAGTTTTCAGTGCTGACCGAAAAAAAA